TCAAATACAGTTCTTTTCTGTTTCTTTCACTGATCTGTATTCATAGACATCAACTTTTCTTATTCCTTTGGACTCTACATAGAACTCTGTTTTTAACCTTAGCTACATATGGCATATATATATGTATATGCACATTCATATTCATTGTCTCTTCAGCAGTAAAGATAATCAAGAAGTTTTTCCATCAGCCTGTTTTCCACTCAATTTTTTGTTTTAATTTTTGTCAGTGTAAGGTAACATTTAAAAAAGTATGACTACAACTGGGCATGATAGAGCTACTTGGGAGGCTGAAGTAGGAGGATCACAAGTTTGAGGCAACCTGGGCAATTTAGAGACCCTGTCTTAAAACACACAAAAAAACCACAGTCACTGGAACTAGGCTGACAGATTAGCTGTGTGATTATGTATGGGAAAGTCATTTAAACTGAGTCTGTTTACTTATCTGTAAAGGGCAATAATAGCCTGCCATGGTGGTGCATGCCTGTAATATAGCACTTGGGAGGCTGAGACATGAGGTCCACCACAAGTTCATAGCCAGAGAGTAAGTTTAAAGCCAACCTGAACTACACAGGAGACCCTGTCTTAGACAAAACAGAACAAAAAACCAAAAGGAAAGAACCTCGGTGGAGCATATAACAATTAGTATTGTTTATCTTGGTGTTTATTAAACATTTAGAGCAGTTAAAGGTCTCTAGATCACAGTACAAGGTAAAAATCTCAGGTCCTAAACCTGCAGAAGTACAAGTTAGCAAGACCTTACCTTAAAAAAATTAAAAGGGCTAGGAATGTAGTTTGGTGGTAGAACACTCCTGGGTGCAATCCCCAGCACTTCAAGGTTAAAAAAAATATATTCCAAAAGTTATAACCTTAATTTCCAGTGACAAGGGCGATTAGATAAGGAAAAGGATAGCCTACCCCATTCCCATCATCATTATTGTTAAAAAGTCAAACATATGGGGCTGGGGGTTTAGCTGCCTGCTGCGCAAGTGCAAGGACCCAAGTTCGATCCCTGGTACCAAAGAAAAAAAAGATCAAACATATTAGAAAAGCAACCTAACTCACACAAACTGATACAATATCCATTAGGTACAGGTAACTATTTAAAACTTAACTCAACTGCACTCATTACATATCTGTCCTTTCTTTTATAGTACTGGTGATTGAACTCATGCCCTCTGCAGTGGGCTACATCCCCAACACTTTTTTTTTGTACTAGGGATCGAACTTGGGACCTTGAGCTTTCGAGGCAGGAAGCGGAATCACTGAGCTAAATCCCCGGCCCCCCCAGCACATAAATTTTTTATATTGAGAGAGGGTCTTGCTAGATCACTTTGTAGCCTAGGCTGGGCTTGAATTTTTGATCCTTCTGCCTCAGCCTTTCAAACAGGTGGGGTTATAGGTGTGCAGCATTATACCTGGCTATTATTTCAAGTGCTCAATAGCTACATGTGATTAGCTCCTACTTTACTGGATAAAAATGTTCTGTAAGAAGTTAGAAAATTAAGAAAAACAAATGTTACTAGAACTGAATCTTAGCAGACCTGTAATCCCAGCATTCTAGAGGCTGAGCCGAGAGGATAACTGTAAGCTCGGGACCAGTCTGAGCTCCACAGCAAGACCCTATCTCAAAAACCCTGTAATTCTAGCACTTGGGAGGTGGAAGCAGGAGGATTACTGCAAGTTTAAGGCCAACCTGGACTACATAGTGAGTTCAAGGCCAGCCTGAACTACATGGTGAGACCTTGTCTCAAAAAAACCAAAACAAGGGCTGGTTCAGGGGTTTCGCCGCCTGCCTTTAAAGCGTAAATTTCCAAGTTTGATCCCCGGTACCAAAAAACAAAAGAAAACAAAAAACCCAAAACAAAACCCCAAAAAGTAGCCCCAACTATGCCACTATTCACTTACAGGATTCCCGGGATGTCACATGCAGTACAGTATAATGGTTAAGAGAATATACTCTGGACTACTCGGATTTTAATTCCAGTACTTACTAGCTGTGTGACACTGGGCAAGTTACTTCACCTCATTTGTTAGCTTCATTTTTACAGTAGGGTCTACCTCCTAGAGATGTTGAAAATTAGTTAACAGTATTTGTGAAAGTACTTAGAACATTACCTGGCATTACTAAATGCTATGCATTTGTTAAAGTAAAAATGATCTCTTAACCTTCTATTTCCTCAATTTCTGAATCAGCAGGTTTAAACTTGGAATGTCTATTTCACAAGTTGTCATGATAACAAATATAGTTTGTAGGGGCCAGAGATTTAGCTCAGTGGTACCGCGCCTGCCTCGCAAGTGCAAGGCCCCAAGTTCAATCCCTGGTACTGCAAAAAACAAAATAAACAAATATAGTTTGTAAATTATTAAAAAAAAAAAAAAAAGCAACTCCACAAAAGGTTACAAAACCACAAGACTACCCCCCCGCCCATTTTTCCTTTTCCAGGACTGCAGATTGAACCAAAAACCTCATCCATACTAGAGAAGTGATTTACCACTGAGCTACCCTCCTCCTCCTTTTAAATTGTGATACTGGGTCTAAGTTACTTAAGCTGATATCAAACTTACCAACCTCTTGCCTCAGCCTTCCAAGTAGATGAGGTTACAGGTATGTGCCACCATGGTAGGCAGATTACTTTCTTTATTCTCCTACAATACTTACTAAACTGCTCTAACAATGGACATTTCCTAAATGTTCATTAAAACTGGAGCATCACTCTCTAGAGTCATAGGCTTACTGCTTATTCAAGAACTCTGCCATAAAATTTACTCTGTCCAAAAGAGGGTGGAAATTACCTACCTCAATTTGAGTGCCCTTTAACCATTACAGTGACTCTCCATTTGCCCTTCCCAGGAAACATAAACAAGCTATTAATTTGGGGGGTTACCTATCTTCATTTGTGAAATTTATGTGTAAGAATTAGGTTTGTTCAAGTTCAGAATTAACAAGTAACATGAACACACTAATTTGTCCCAAAGAATCTGACCTTCATAAACAAGAAACAGAACCACAAAACAGTTAATACTGGGATTCTCAAAAATCCTGAGACCCTTTTCCAATTTGCAAACATAACCTACATCCAATGAAATTTTAGATTACTTAAAAAAAAATTTCATATTACTTAATGGATCAGCTGTTCAAATGAAATTTTTTTTTAGTTTAAACGCACTTTATTTTTAGACAACCTACATGACATGTTTTTTTCCCCCCTAAAAAACAACGCCTCCACTCCAAATAAATCACGGTCAAAATAAACGAAGCGTTCAAGATAACATCAGTCCCACTTGTCTAAAATCCCGGTGTTGTGTGGATGACAAGCAGCAGCCAGTTATGACAAGTGATATATCCAAGGTAACCGCCAAATCCATTAAGATTTTTCCATTTCTAAACCATCCTTAAAGAAAATCATAAATGGGGTCACACCATCCTCACGGTAGTCCAGGAGAGCAACCATGCCATCTGGATTCATGTTTGCACCTATAAAGAACTGATAGTTTTTGAAATTAGCAAGGATGTGCTTGATTTGTTCGGCAGCCCCTGTCATAAAAGGTTTTACTCTTTCTGGTATTTGTTCTTCAAGTTTGCCTTCGACTGATTTCATATAATCTTTGATGTACTTCTTGTAGGCCTCTTTTGTGAAGCTGGTTTCCTGCAAGTGATGGTTCCTGACAATATCAACACCAGTGACTACTGTGCTGCCGGTACCTTCACCCTCCGGGCCTTCAGCGGAGGGATTTCCCCCAATGAGCGAGTCATGAGTTACCCTCTGTTCTACTGACCATCTTGCCCTCCGCCTCCAGTCACAGCCCGCCCTCGAGCTCCCAGATCTTGTAAATGTCGGAGAGCATCTCATCGTGGCTAATGAGGTCCCGATAGATAATCACGATAGTGGCTGAAGGGAGATGAGGCCGCGCTAACTTAGTAGGAGCCGGAGTGGAGCTGCGCACAGAAGAGGGGGACCTCAAATGAAATTTGAAAAACAGTGACACCACTGTACAAGAAAAGACTAGCCAACACCTGCAAAATGGGAATTTGATTTCTGCTGAAATGAACAGCCGAAGGCTGTCAGATCTGTTAGATCTCCCAAAGGATCAGAAGCCAAATTCTTTCTAGAGTTTGAGGTTTCTGTGAGTATTGGGCTGTAAAATGAAGGAAAAGCGTTCAAGACAACAAAAGGATGCAGATAAGGCATCTTTAACAAGTTAGAAAATATCCCTGGTGGCTAGCAACACGTTTTGAAAAGTGTTAACTTTGCCACAAGCGGTGGGGAGCGAGAATAAGCACATACTATAAAAAGACAAGACCAAAATCAATGAATGTGAACTGAATAGGCTCTTAAATGCAACTTGTTCAGAGATCTCCTGGAACAAAGTTTCCCAGTACCTCTAGATACAGGTCTTCATATCTGGAGGATGGGATACAATTAAAATAAAACTAAGGAATACGGATAGCAAAGAAATGGGAGAAAGAAGATCAGCAAGGTACTATACAGGCCGGTCGACAGTTGCAAGTGCTTCCCTAGGACACCGCCAGCCCGTCAGCCCGCCAGCCCCTCCGCCCCTGCCTCTCCCCCCACCCTAAACTTGATGAGGGCGCACGCGCGTAGCGACGCGCAGGCGTAAAGTCTGTAGAAACAATGAGCTTTGTTGCCGCGGCTGTAGTGAGGGGCGAAGGGGGAAACTGGAGGTTGAGGAACGCGAGAAAGTACTATCCCGGCAATCCTTGCGCGCCACCGAAGACCCGGATAGAGAGCTGCGAGGTCTAAATAAAAAATAATGACAATGAGAAAAAACCGGCCATTTCTCAGGGAAGAATCAAGTGGGCCCAAGCTCATCCCTCAGATGTGGCGGAAAAAGAGGCATGAAACAACGAAGGCCATAAAAGGCCTAATGGCCAGCAACCCGGAGGGCGTTTTAGGCCCCTCAGCCGTCGCCGAGGTGCTGCCTTTCCACATTGGGCACGCCAAACCCTTCTCGCAGCTCCGCCCGAGGGGACCCCTCACCCAGTGCACGGCAGCAGGGACGGCAGCCAACGAATCCTGTCGGCCTCCACGGATCTCCACACGCAGCGCCGCTCCCCCACTCGACGTGCGCTTCGCCCGCCGCCTTCCTTCTCCAGTCCAAACAAACACCAGCCCGGAAGTGACTTCACTTCCGTCGGCGGCCCCGCCCCCTTGCCCTGTGAGCGCTGCTCTCCTAGACCACTAGAGAGCGCAAGAGAGAACACGTTTCCAAAGCTCTCTTTGCTTCCAGACCTACACGTGTGCGTGGCTAACAGCCTTGCCAGCGCGCACCGGCGACACACCGCCGGTTATACTAGGAATTCTCTTTCTTTCTGGAAGGCAGGATTGGAGACAAACCACTGTCCTGACTCCACAGCCGCCCACACTTCGAGGATGGGATGCAGTGAGCGGGGGAGCTAGGTTCCAAGGGAAATGTGAGCTACACTTTCAAACACACTTAAGAGGAACATCTTCGTAACAGCGCACTTAACGTAGACATACACTAATATACAGTGTCACACTAAGTGACATGCACAGATGTCACATCGAGATGCTGAATGAACAAATTCACAGGGCCATGCTAACTGATCTCTAAGCCCTTGTACTCAGATTTACAGGCATAGCACTTTGAATCAGGACTTTTACGTAGACAAAAAGGTTCAAGAATCCTAAGACCCTTGGTGTTTTGCCCCTATTATCATCTACGACTTCTTTACTATCGTTGGCAAGCTCAAAGATAAATTTCTAATGACACTAAGCAAGGCAGAGAAGTTGTCTGCGTAAGAAAAAAGCAAGGAAGTAAGCTCTGGATGTATTCATTGTTTTGGAAAGGGTACATACAAACCCCAGTTCTTTCTTAGGGGGGAAACAGAGTGGGGAACTAGGAAATGAATCCAAAGAATCACCTTTATATTCTCTTGGAAAATGTGACTTTAAAAAGCCACGTTTAATATACACTAAAATTATTAAAAATTCCCTCGATGGGAAAGCTTGAATGCACAAATGAGGTTACTTTTCTCTCTAAGCCATTTCATTCACTCAAGATCGCTTTGGGTCAGTGCAAAGCTACTAAAAAAACCAAAACAGGTGTTCTATTTAGACCCGATTCAACCGCTTTATCCACTTCGACCTGTATCCTGGATGCTGTGTTGATTCGTGAATAGAGAACACAGTCAGAAGGCTAACAAGTTTCCTAATTATGAGGACAGACTCTGCAATGGGACTAGCACAGATCTAATGATACCACTGCACAATTTTATCTGTGCCAAAAAGAGAAAAAGTCCCAGATGTAATTATGGTCTCACTGTATACTAACACCTTCCTCTAGTCCTTTTTTTTAGGTACCGGGGATCGAACTCAGGACTTTGTGCTTGCGAGGCAGGTGCAGCACCACTGAACTATGTTAGAAAATGCTTACCTTCTTACCGAGTCCACGTAGATATTGTATCTTTTTTTTTTTTGGAAACAGTCTCGCTACACAGTTCAGACTTGCCTCAAACTTGTAGTGATCCACCTGCCTCAGCGTCCCAAGTGCTGGGATCACAGGTGTGGATCATAACTCAAAATTACTCAACACTTGAGTGCTTAAGGGTGCCACCAGTTAAAGGTACTTAAGATAGACAGTAGCTTGGCAGTGGCTCATGTCTGTAACCCAACCACTCTGGGAGGATGAAGCAGGATGATCCAAAATTGAACCTCAACCTGGAGAATTTAGAATCTTGCCGCCAGTCATCCCCACCCGCCCTGAGGTTTTTAGTGAAATTTTAAACTAAGCTTTTTTTTCTTTTTTAAAGGCAGGGTCTCTCAATGCAGTTCAGTTCAGGCTGACCTTGAACTGTGTAGCCCAGGCTGATTTTGAACTTGCAGATCCTCCTGCCTCAGCCTCTGAGTGCTGGAATTACAAGCATGGGCCACTACACACGGCTTAAGCTGACATTAAAACAAGTATCAAATCTATATATGATTATACAGGATGAGCAGGATTTGAAAATTAAGGTATAGGCAGGGAACAGGTAAAGATTTTTTGCAGAAGTGATATATGAGCATACAGACATGGAGAATACTCAAAAAGCAAAAGCAATCCCTCCTTTAGTCTGGGCCAAGTCCTTCCCTGTTGGGTTTGTGCAGCTTGCTGCTTATAGTTAAGAGGGGTCACATACACTTGGAGGCTGAGGAACAGCAGCAGTCAGGAAAATAAATTATCTGTGCAGTTTCACAGTGCATTACACCAGTAATCAAGTCACAATCCTTTCTCACAGGCTCTCACACCACACTGTAAAGTGAAGGCAGTGTTTTTTCTATGCTGGGACCGCACCTCAGGGCCTTGCACATGCTAGGCTACAGCTACATGCCCAACCCTGAGGTTTCTTTATAGTAATGGACCCTTCCCTTAAAATATTAATTCCATATAGAACTTTTTAACAAGATCTAGTCACCCTTTGGTATTCCCAGCCAATTCTATGAAGAAAAATCTCCCACACTTAAGCCAATTTCTGAAACTGTATTCTGTGTACAACTCACCTTTCAAATATCTGATCAATCTCTCTGGGAAATTGTTTATATTTCTACCAAAAAACAGCTGAACTTGGGAAAGCACAATCTGTCCCTGAAATGTTTTCCCGATTTAAAAAAATGCATTGCACTGAAATCTACCCCAAATGGTAACTACTTTTCAGTATTTCCTTTATTCTTTAAGCTTTGTAAGAAAACAAGCCAGGTGTGGTGGCTGTAATCCTGACACTTGGGAGGCTGAAGCAGGATTGCCATGAATTTGAGACCAGCCTGGGTTATAGTGAGTTTGTGATCAGCCTGAACTACACATCAAGACTGAAACATCCTCCACTTTAAAAGAGCACAAAACATTTTTTCTGAAACATTAAACATTCTAGGCATCTGGTTACAACTGGCCAGGACAAAACCGTTCCTCAGCTATAGGTAAAACAATAATTCTGTGTCGTCTTTAGCCTTCACATCACCATCACTTGGCAAATGAGCTGTCAGGATCCATCCCCAACACAGGAAATCAGAATACAAGGACCCTGCAATGTTTTTATCTCTAGCTAATTCTGATACATACTAACATTTGAGAGAGTTCACACAACAGTTTGTGTATTAGTGTTGTCTAGTAATCTTGGCCTCAGTATGGTCATAAGAACTTTTATCAGAATAGCAGGGTCCTTTTTATCTGGTTGGCTTAAAAATCAGCACAGCATACCCTTGTCAAGAAATTATCATCTCCAACTCAAAACCACAGAATGGCCAAGCTTTCAGCTATACTAAGCCACAAACTGCATGGAAACCAATATAGAAGTGTACCCAAGGAGGGCCAGGGACTCAGCTCCATGGTCCCATGGCTGCCTCAAAAGCATAAGGTCTTGAGTTCAGGAACTGCTTCTGTTGAAGTGCATCTTAAAAAGCTCATACAAACTAGGTGTGGTGGCACATGCCTGTAATCTCAGCACTTATGAGGCTGGGGAGAATTTTAAGTTTAAAGCCACTCTGGGCAATATTAACAAGGACCTATCTCAAAATAAAAATTTGAAGCAAACAATGCCGATTGGCCTTCCATCTTCTTTCCCCTTTCAAACCTTACTACTCTGCCTGCCATGTTACTTAAAAATAAGGTACAGAGGACACTAGCCATGGCTGGGCACACCTATTATCTCAACACTCAGAAGCTTAGGCAGAATCGTCACCAGTTGGAGGCCAGCCTTAGAGTCAGTGAGTTCAAAGCAAAGATGGACTACATAAAAAGACCTTGACTCAAAAAAAAAAAAAGCTTCATAAGGAATTTAGATAGAATCTTTAAAGTTCTTAAAATCTTACCATGTAAAATGTCTAGCGTCAAGCATAGTAGCATGTTGATCCCAACACTCTGGGAGGCTGAGGCTGAAGAACAAAATTCCATTGATTAAGCCTAGCCTAACAAATGCAGGGATGTAGTTCATTATGAAGGGGGAAAAAATTCCTAGAGATGCTAGTGCTATACATGATTGTCATAAGATAACTCATGTTTCTGATAAAATTCATCTTATACCAAAAATTTTTTTTCCTGAGATGAAGTCTATGTTGCCCAGGACAGCCTGTAACTGGGGCTCAGCTTGTCCTTTTGCCTTTTGTAGTAACTGGGACTACAGGCACATGTCATTGTGCCTAGCAAAATAAAAATTTTAAGATACTCAAAGCAGTAATACTGTAGCTATACAAATCCAAGCCTCTTCAGGAACACTATCACACCTTGAATTTACCAGCAATGAGTAAAGGAAGAAAAAAAGTAAACTAAACTCAAGGTATTTCTAAGTTTCCATCACATTTGTATAATATGACCAAGGGTGAAACAGTGGCAAGAAAGATGTTCTTAAAACTTTACAGCATTTGATCCCCAGTACAAAAAAAAAAAAACAACACACCAAAACAAAACCCTTTACAACAGGTTTAAATGGAAAACATTCTCACTAAAGGTTTGCTATAATCTGGGAAACAGATGTTATACATACATCACTAGAAGCTTATACATGAAAATTTTTCACTTTTAAAAGATACTAAAGATAAACTTATCAAATAGATTTCTTCAACTTGCTAAATCCAACGAAATGGGAGTAAGGAAAAAGCCATCACTGACAGGAAACCAGAATTCCATTGCACATGTAATATTTTCTGCAGTGTCTGTTAATAAATTGGAATTAAACCAAGGTTGGTAATTAGTAAAGTCTAAAACTAATTGAAGTAAACTGGCAAAGATTTTTTGTACATGTTACATACATTGCTTAGTCAACTCTTCATGGAGACCTTAAAATTTTCCCTATTTGAAATATCGTTTAATACATACATCTGGTCTTGAAAGTCTCAGAGTAAGGGGGTTTTTGTATTTGAAATTAGTTTGACAAAAGATAACTGAACACATCAAGAATCTGTACATAATTATTTTGAAAGGCTGGCAGAACTAATTTTTGCTACTCCATGTTATTTCTAGTCTTATTGTTAGAAGCATGGACATTGTCTAAACATAAGTTTTTGCAATTTCTTAATGTTTAGGATTTAAATTCATAGGGTTCTACAAAACCATGCAGTCTCATTTTTAATTATGCAACAGGAACAAGAAATCCACCATAAAGTTCAAAATTCAAATCTTTAGTAGCAGTCTTTAGATACTCTAGACTAAAAAGTAGTTTGTTAAAGCATG